AATGAAACTGCTCTGGGATCAAGCGGTGCCGCCTCCAGCCAGCAACAGGGTCCCCCTCTAAACGGGCTGCCCGTGGGTGGTCCCCGCCACAGGCAAACCCAGGCTCCGCACGGGGCGTGCTGCCTGCTGCTGCCACATGTTCTCCTGGAGGACAGCAGGTCAGGATGGCACAGTCCGTGGGGACGTTTCCCAGCACAGCGCCAGCTGCATTTGCTGGAAGGCCAAGCCGGACAGGCCAAGTCTCTGAGCTGCACATCCCTGGGACGTGGCACTCTCTACGTGCGCCAGCCTGCACACCTTTTGGCCACTGATGGAGGGGCCTTGGCTGGACAAGCCCTTCATGTCCAGTGACCCGGGATGTCTCCAGAACTGGCTGCATGCCCACAGAAGGGCAGATGAGGGATCCCTCGCCTGCTCTGGTGCAGCCCCCTCCAGCTGGGACCGGCTGTGCACCGCTCAGATGCACAAGGACTCCAAAAAGAAATGCTCCCCGCAGAGACCAAGCCGCCCCACTCTCCTACGCACCCAGCTCCGAAATGAGCACAGGGAACCCCTGAGGCAGCCAAGCCAGACAGATTTTTATCTGCTTGCCTCCAGCAGCTCCCTGCTGCCATTGCGGCTCCTCGCGTTTCTACACCTAGGGCTGTACCAGCCCCACAGCACAAACACCAACACCTGCATTAACAGCCCAACGAACGCATCCAAAAGCCAAGGCGCAGCAAGGGACTCGTACCATGGTGCTCCAGGAGGGGCAGGGAAGCCAGGCTCAGAGGAGCCTTTGCAGGAGCACCTGCCTAGACACGGGGTTCGGCCAGGCACCCGCTGCCCTGGCAGGGTGTCACAGCAGCTCCCCCAGCTCCTGCTGCGCTTGCTCCCCTTCAAGGGGGCCACATGGACAAAAAGGTCGGGTACAGCCATCCACAGAGGCCCATGAAGAGGGGTATGGCACCCTTGCAAAAGACCGGCCACCAGGCAATCGCCCAAAGAGCAAGCAAACAGACACTCCACCGCTTACCTTCGCCACCGCTTGGGCGGTGGGGAGAACGACCGTGATCGGGATCGGGAGGACGAGGATGAAGATGACGATGAGGACTCGCTAGCCCCATCCGAACTGGAGCTGAAAGAGCGGCTGG